ATACAGAAATGAGTCACTTATTGCTTTCCACTCCCTCCAGCCCACCATAAAAGAGAGCATATTATTCTTCTCAACATGAATCAGAGATAGCAATAACTTAGGCAGGCCTTTTTATATATCTAGTTCAGAATGTAAGAGAATGGGCAAGCATTTTTGCACTGGGTGGAGTAGGCAAAAAGTCATCTCTCATCTTGGAGTGATTTCTGCAAAAATGTCAGCTCAGCATTTAGTTTAACTGTAGGAATATCAGGGACTGAATCACTCTGGTTTAGCAGAAGATGGGTAATTTGCTGGAGCTTTAGATAAATACTATGTTTTAATCAAGGCATTCAGGGATATTAAAAAACATGCTGGGTAATGGTGAGTGTAGCAGTGGCTCTTACAAAGTCCATGTGGGAATAAACCGATGTAAAATTTCACTTAAAAAGTCCACTTGCAGACAACTAGGTTCCTGGTTTTCCAACTTGTGCAATTTTGCAATAGTAGAAATCCATGGGTTTTTTAATTATGGAAATTGTTCTCATCCATTTCTATGAACAGGCAGGTGTGCAGATCAGAGACCATATTAGTTCTGAACCTTTATTCGTAAGATAGCTTTTGATTACTGTTAAATTTACTATTTTTAACTTTTTGGTTTAGGCCAGGAGTGTCAAACTCGATTTCATTAAGGGCCGCATCAGGGATGTGTTTGACCCTGGAGGGCCTGGTGGTGGTGGCAGGAAGTGGGCGTGGTAATGGTGGGTGTTTGACACAGGCTCAAGATGCTTTTTTTTTTTTAGCTTTCTCTCTTTCCATAGTTCTTTACTATAACCATTTTCCTATCTCTTCTACCAGATATTACTGGCAAATATTTATTACTTATTCTTCATACTCCACTAAACTTTTTATTTCTAAATTTATACCCCATTGTTTAATAGTAAATTGCTTTTCCAGGCAGAAAAGCTATTTATACTATTGTATTTTTATTATTCAACTAATAATAAAAATACAATAGCATAAATAACATGATAATACAAGATCTAACAGCAGAGGTAAATTTCCAGTAAAATAGAAATGGCTGTCAATTATAGATACAGAATAGAGTACAGAATATAAAATACAGAATAGATTGTAGATTAAATGTTGCTTGTTTTCTATCTAGATCAGATACTTATTTGAGGCCACATAATTGTAATCCAGTCCAAGCCAGTCCTCCTGCAGCACCCTGCCGGCTGAAAACGGGCCCCAGGCAGCTCCCCCACACTCTCCATGGCCTCCTGCAGCACTCTCCAGGTCAAAAACTGGCACCCCCCTGTGGCCTGTTTTGACTAGCAGAGGCACTGCAGACCAGTCCTTTGATATTTCCAGATCAGCCCCGCAGGCCAGATCTAAACATCTGATGGGCCAGATCTGGCCCTCAGGCCTTGAGTTTGACACCCCTGGTCTAGGCTATATAGGTGATCCTCAACTTACGGCCACAATTGAGCCCAACATTTATGTTGCTAAGAGACACAGTTGTGAGTTTTGCCCCATTTCTTCCCACAGTTGTTAAGTGAATCACTGCAGATGTTAAGTTAGTAACACAGTTGCTAAGTGAATCTGACTTTCCCATTGACTTTGTCAGGAGGTTGTAAGAGAGGGTCATGTAACCACAGGACACTGCAACTGTCATAAATATTAACCAATTGCCAAGCATCTGAATTTTGAACACATGCCTATGGGGATGCTGCAACAGTTGTAAGTGTGAAAAATGGTCAGTGCTATTTAGTGACTTTAAATGGTCACTAAATGAAGTGTTGTTAGTCGAGGGCTACCTGTAGTACAGAAATACATAACTTCTGACCCTAAAACTTTGACTGTAAGAAGGAAAAATACTTAAAATATCTATATATATCTATATAAAATACATATAAATGCATTTAATTAATTTATATCTAATCATAAAATAAATCAAAAATACTTTCGTCTTCACTTTGCCCAATTTTTGAACATTCTGCATTTGAAAATGCAGATCTCACCCTCCCCAAAATAGTGAAATAATTGCTATGAGAGTAAATGCAGTGAGACTTAACCTGTACAGGATTTCATTATAAACTATTTTTAAAAACCATACCTAACACAAGGGCTATGTACCTTTGTAATGGAAGTATCAGTGTGGTACATAATCCAGCACATCTGGAAGATGCCAGACTCAAGGAGGCAACAGGAACTGACAGCGTTTGGATAAAGATTTCACTGAATCAAGTGACTAGGCTTTTTTGCTTCACTATTATGGTAATTTATTTACAACTAAATATTAATCTGTTAAAAGTTTTTTATTTCAAAGACTAAAACTCACATATTTTAGCACTGAAAACATTTATATCACTTTAACTGCTTCTGTAAATTTATATTGTATCAGTATTTCCTGAAAGCACACAGGAAATTTTGTGGATCAATAGTGGCATCTAGTGATCAAGTTAAAAATTAGCTATGACTTTTCATTAATACAGTAAATACTTTTTATTTATATTAACTTCAACTGTGGAAGGAATGTAGTTTCATTCCTGTGTCTTCGGTATTATCTGAAACAAAAATCTATACGAGTAAATAATGTGCATAATTCATTTATGAACAGGTTATACTATTATAAACCTCTCAAACTGGATGTAAAATACAGTTCCTATTTATTTCTTACACTGCCTCTCATATCAAGGTATGAATTTACCAAAACAACCTTTGGAAATTAATGCTTTATTCTCTGAAGTAAACTGAAATATCTTTACTTTTCTTCAATGGAACTAATAAAACACTGTTTATTCCAGTAGTGAGCAAAATGGAATCCAAAACCCAAAGACTATTTCTGCATCCACTTATTTTAAAATTATTACAATTCTAATCATTGTCATCTGCCACAGTGAGTCATAATATAAATTTTGCCTTTATGTATTTCTATCTTGTGATGTTTATTTATTTATTTAAAACATGCAGCAATTATCATCATTGAATACTGAGTCACTCGAGCTATGTTAGGAAGGCAGATAGAGTTGGCACTGTTTCTGGTTCTTTCTGCTATTATATAGATGGAGAAGGTGCTAATGATGAGCATTAGTGTTTATAGGCAGCCTTCTCCTGGCAGCATTTGGGTGGGGGAAACCTATTTGGTTAGACTTTTTTGGGAGTTTGATTTTAAATGTTTGTTCTGTTTTTTGTTGCTTTTGTAATGCCTCCCAATTTTACTCTTACAGTTTTAATACACATCAAAAATGTTACGAAATCTACTTTAGGCAGTTTCAGCTGGAAAAGCAGATACAAGGAAGAATGAAGGTGTCTTGATCATTCCTTTAATTGTTCGTTGATAGGACAGTTCTGTGGAACACTAATTCCCGCCCCCCAAAAAAGGTCTTAAAAGAAAGCATGGATAAAATGTCTTTCCATCCAATATTAGATTCCCCCTAAAAGATTTCAGTTTTTCAATTGAATCATACAGATTATATAAGGGGAGTCAAACTCAAGGCCCGCAGGCCAAGTCCGACCCGCGGGGTGCTTAGATCTGGCATGTGAGGCTGCCCTGGAAACAACAAAGGACCAGCTCGCAATGCCTCTACCAGCAAATACAGCGCTGTTTTTGTTGACAGAGGGTTGCAGGAGGTCATCGCAGCTGAAAATGGAGCTCGGGAGCCCGTTTTCACTGGCAGAGTGCTTGGGTCACCACAGGCGTCCCCAACATGAGGGGCGTTGAGCTGGCCAGGCCCACCCTGGCCCCCAGGGTCAAAAACAACCATGATGTGGCCTTCAATGAAATTGAATTTGACCCCTTTGGATTATATGTTATACTAGCTGATAACCCGGCATTGCCCGGGTATTTATTTATCCCAGTCCTGTATTAGACATGAAAAGCCATCGCTCACTGTGGTGAGAATTAGAGACCTAATTGCCCTGGCCAACAGCATGGGAAAAATTCTACAGGTGATTATCTGCATTAGCAGGCACCTCCCCTGACAACTTGCTCTCTTTGCTTGAAGCTGAGGGCCTAGTGGTTATTTTTTGTGTGTGTTTGTTTGTTTTTGTTTAAGAACCAATCCCCCTTATCAGAGGGAGCCCTCTTATGGAATACTGTGAAGCCGTTACCATGGCAACTCCATTGTGATGTACATTAGAAGCCATTTTAGGGCACAACAGGCTGTATCTTAACAGAACTTGAATACAAAATGCACATTATCACTGTCAAATGTACTGTGATTTGACACTATAGATATAATTCATTCCTTTTCGTTTCAGCAGCCCAGGCGTTCCAGAATTATGCTGGAACACACACACACCAAGGGGTGTTAGGGGTGTCTTACCCCTACAGTATTTTTTTTTCAGAGAGTAAGTCATCTGTGTAGCAACTTTGGTTGGAATTGCTTGAGGCATTCCAGAGTTATGGCGGAACACACAGACACACACCAGGGGTGTCTTACCCCCACAGTATTTTTTTCCAGAGAGTAAGTCATCTGTGTACCAAGTTTAGTTAAAATTGCTCGAAGCATTCCAGAGTTATGGTGGAACACACACACACACCAGGGGTATCTTACTCCCCCACAGTATTTGTTTCCAGAGAGTAAGTTATCTGTGTACCAAGTTTGGTTGAAATTGCTCAAGCCGTTCCAGAGTTATGCTGGATCATATATATATATACATAGATAAAACCTTTTTTATGTATATAGATTAATTAAAGTTGTAAAGAATGAAGTGATTTATCTGGATCTGATTTTTTTACATTTCAAAAACCTGACATTTTAACCAGGGTGTGTAAACTTTTTGTAACCACTGTATAGTCTTTCTTCCTTAAACCCAATACAGTGTATATATCTAGATAGCACTCCCTTTTCTATTTTTGTCTACAACTCCTCTGAAATAAGTGGAGCTTAGAAACTGGCTAGCGCAGGTACCCAGTGAGGATAAACATGAATCAGTGAAACATCTCAACCATCATTTCTTACTGATTCTTTTTCATCTATGGAACTAAACACAATAATAAAAGAATCACAAACTTCAAGTTGTTTCACACATCCTTTTTCTCTTTCTGCATACACAAGCAACAAGTTGAAATAGAATTTTGAAACTGAATTTTTTTAAAAAGGGAGGGGAGGCCTTTGAAACACAAACAAACATGCCAAGACAACACTAAACATCAGGATAGTTTAAGAATGCACAGGGGATTGGGCAAATAGAAACCACTGAGTCCTTTAAGTTTTATACTCAAGTAATTCAAATAGCAACAGTAATGCATGCAGACCCATCTAATACATTACAGCAAAGTTCAAGACACCAGACCCAATGTATGGTAGCAGCTTCTCCCACAGTTCCTCCATATCTCACAATGAAGAACACCACCCAGATAACCTGGGTGTCTGAGACAACTCTATGTCCATGCCCGGAATATTTCCCAATATGGATTACTGTAAAGCAATTTTTCCTCAACCTTGACAAGTTTAAGATGGGTGGACTTCAATTCCCAGAATTCCCTTCAGTCATATTTGGAAGATTTTGGGCAAATACTTTACTTTACTAACCAAGGTTGAGAAACTGTAGGCCCAAAGTTCCTTCTATCTCTTTCTTCTGCGCCTCAGTTACATTCTTAGTTAGTATTTTAGTTTTAGATTTGTTCAATTTAAAGCCAGCCACCTCGCCATATTTACCTACAGGTTGTCCCAAAAATAAAATACTTAGGAATTTGGCTAACCAAAAGGTGTTCATCTCTGAAAGAAGATAATTATACTCCATTAATTAATAAATTAAAACAAGATTTGGATAGATGGAAAAAGATTAAATTGTCACTTATAGGCAAAATCGCGGCAATCAAGATGAACATCCTCCCCAAGATCTTATTTTTATACCAAAACTTACCAGTGATTTTAGAGAAAATTTTTTTCCTAGAATTAAATAAGATCACGAGGGATTTCGTTTGGGAAGGAAAAAAATCGAGAATTTCACTCAAAATCTTACAGGAAAAAAGGAACGTGGGAGGATTTGGACTCCCGAATTGGGAAATGTATTATAGAGCAGCAAAGCTGATATGGATAAGGGAATGGATCACTTTGGAGAATAAGAGAATCTTAATGTTAGAAGGCCATGATTTACAGAGAGGGTGGCATGCGTATTTATGGGACAAAGATAAGAAAAAGAAAACCTACTTCCACAGGCATAAAATCAGGGACTCCCTAATACAAACGTGGGCGGGGATTAGACAGAGATATTATACAAAAGTCCCAAATTGGCTCTCTACGGTAGAGGCATTGATTTATCCCAACAGGTGGGGAATGGAGAAACTGTGCAGATACAAAGACATCCTCGATGGAGGGGGAAACCTTAAATCAAATGATGTCCTGAGAGACCAAGACATAATTTTAGATTGGTGGACTTACATGCAAATAAAATCAAGATACCAGAAAGACAAGGATGAATTTGGTTTAGAATTAGGATACAACGGATTAGACAAAATTCTGATGGGACCAGGAAAAAAAGCGTTGGCCAAGCTGTATAATTACTTATTAGATGAGGATAGAGATGAGGACATAATTAGAAACCAATTGAGAGCGTGGGAGAGAAATATCGGATATAGTTTGAACTTCAACGAATGGGAAGAGGCGTGGAATAAAAACTATAAATTAACTAGAGCAGCCACGTACAAGGAAAATCATTACAAAATGCTTCATAGGTGGCACTTAGCACCTGCAAGATTAGCACAGATGTTCCCCAATGTACATCCAAGTTGTTGGAAATGCGGTCATGGTCAGGGCACCTTCTTTCATATGTGGTGGACATGCCCCGAAGCCAAAAGATACTGGAGCAAAATTCAGAGATGGTTGAAAGACATACTCAAAGAAGAAATTGATTTGAACCCAGAAATATTTCTCCTGGGAATGGTAAAGAAAGGGCATGGAAAGGAAAAGGTCCACCTCCTAATACACATAACTACAGCTGCCAGACTGGCGTACGCTCAATACTGGAAAAAGAAAGACCTACCACCAGATGACCTTATAATTAGCAAAATATTAGAGTGTGCAGAGACAAGTAAATTAACATACGAGATAAGTGATGATGAAAACTCAGATTACGATATGATATGGGGAAGATGGTACGAATGGATAAATGATAGAATCAAGGAAGGAGTTAAAGGTGCGGAAATTAATTAGAAATGTATAGTATAAATGACACCAGATATTTTTTTCATGTATATATGTATAAACACTGCGAATCCGATGTCAAACAAAATTGCTATTATATTTTATTTGCCTTAAAAAAAAAAAACCAATAAAATAGAGAAACACTGCTGTAAAGTATTTGCCCAAAACCTTCCAAATATGACATTATTATTAAATCAGTATAAACATTCTTGACAGAAGTGCTTGTTTCAAGTATTAGAAATCGTTTTAAGCTTTTAGGTTTTCTATTGTAATTATAAACAGGAAGGGGAATAAGATTCTTATAAAATGTTTAACTTGAAAAATGTATACATTTTGAAAAAGGAAGTGAAGCAATTGATAAGCAATTAAGGATTTAAAATGAAATCAGGAATCAAAATTAAGATTAGGTTCATGTACTTCTTGTACCAAGTATTATACTGGTTTCATGTTATGTAGAGAATAGCTCTTTACATGTGATGTATTATTAGAATGAATATTCAGGATCCAAAGAACCTGAACTTGACACTTTTCCCAGAGCCTTGAAGTCAGGATGAGTCAAGTCCCTAGTTGATGAAATATTTCAGTGATTGCCACTATTTAGCATGTACTAATAAAATATGCTATTTTTTGTATTGACTTATGATCCATTTAAGAGCAGATCTGAATGCCATATCTGAGAAACTTTGTTAAGTTTCAAAAACTCTTTGCCAAGGAGACCACACAGGGCTGTTCCAGATCCAGAACTAGATGAAGAGGTATTTAGAACCAGTAATTCTCTTTTTAATTAGTTTTTTTTTATTAGACTGGGTATGCTTATCTGAACTCTTAGAATATAAAACTTAAATGCATTCATAACCACAATAACTATTATACAGATGCCTTAAGGATTCTCTTCTCCTGTATAATGTGATGGTTAACAATAATCCTTTAATCTGTTAACTGTAAAGTAACCTAGTGCTTATTCTAAAATATATTCAATTGTTGAGGAAGACATAGACTAGGACACCTTTTGCATCTGACCAATCTGTAGGGCTGAATCATCATTCTTTTTCTTCTATTTGTACTCTTGGGCTGAAAACTTACATCTATTACCAACTGTGTTTCATTATTATTAAATAACTTTACTGTAATTGCAGCACTTATTATTTTGATTGCATTAACAGTTCACAAATATTCTGTCCCAAGAATTATCTTATGATGTAAGTTTCCAATGCTCTTATTCCAGCTCATGCAAAGTGTTTCAGAAAGATAACTTTTCCAGCATGTTGCAATTAATTTATTTGCTATCAGTTAATCTCAGGTACTGCAAAGTAGTTAGAAATACAAATGCTTTGCAAAGTGTACTCAAGGGACAAAAGAGAAGCTATTTTCTATGTACCGTTTTTTCTAAAATAGTCTCCCTGTCTTACCTTCCACCAGACCAAAATTGAGTACAGGACAGTTGGTCCTTGACTTATGACAATTGAGCCCAAAATTTGTTAAGTGACACATTTGTTGATTTTTTTTCCTCCATTTTACCACCTTTCTTGCCACAGTTGTTAAATGAATCAATGCAGTTGATAAGTTAATAACAAGTTGTTAAGTGAACCTGGTTTCCCCACTGACTTTGCTTATCAGAAGGTTGTAAAAGGTGATCCCATGACCTTGGAAAACAGCAACACTCATAAATATGAACCAGTTGCCAAGGATCTGAATTTTGATCACATGACCATGGGGATGCTGCAAAGATCGTAACTATGAAAAATGGTCAAGTCACATTTTTCAGGGACATTGTAACTTTGAATGGTCATTAAACAAGCTGTTGTAAGTCGAGGACTACCTGTATTTAGAGCAGCACAGAAAACTTTTCTGTGATAGTCTGTCTACACACTCCTGATCAATTAGCCCTAAAAATAAAAAGTTTTGTTTTAAAAATGTCAACAAGGAAAAAATCCCACATTTTATAATACTTTCCAGACTTAAGAGTTTTAACAGTCTTTATATCATGAGTTGAGAACTTGTAGTTCAGAAACATCTAAAAAGCTCCTTTTCCTGCTACTTCAAAGCAACATACGGTAGCTAATAATGAGACTGTTGGAACCACATTTCAGTAAAAAGACACAGGTTCCTCATTCTGTTTTATACTGCAATGTGCACACCAGATTCAAACTCTTCATGCTTTTGAATCAAACAATCATTTCACTACAAGTGTGGACAGAAGTAGCAATGTATGGAGAAAACTGGTTAAAACACTTAGCTGTCAAAAGTACTTTAAAAAGTACACAGACACAAACATGACTTTGCTTAACTGGCAAGCTGATACATTAGGGAAAGCATTACACTGAATCTGACTTAAGGAAGATTGGTTGGTTGTCAGGCATCCTTTATTCACTCATATGGGAATAAATTCCCTTAGTTTAAATTTGAGTAATCTAGGATTAGGCCAAGAACATTTGTTGTAATAGCAAATGCTGCTAAAAACTGTAATGATAAAAAGAACCAGATGTAAGAATGTCTTCCTACACTCATTGTGACTTACTAAAAATAATTAGTCTCCCAGGATAAGTAAAAAATACAATGTGTTAACAATTCTCTTAGCCTGATAAAATTATGTAAAAAAATTAGCAGTGGTAGAAAACTGAAAATGCAGATACTTAAATATGTTAGGTTTTAGAATACAGATGACAAGCACTTTTCTTCTAAATTGTTAAAGGATGTCTGTTAGTAAGCCACTGGAAGTCTTGATAACATTTTTGGATGTGAATAAAGTTAAAAGATGCCCTTCAAGTATTTGAGAATTCTTGACCGAACGGTTTAGAATTAAACTTTCTAAAGTTCTTTCCTATGGCTATTATCTATAAAGTGGCAAACATTTCTCATGCTGCAAGACAATTTTTAATGTGAAAAAGAATTATGCCACTATGTAGTTCTACATTTTCAAAAAAAAAACCAAAACAATTATTTTTGTATATACATAAGTGATGTCTCTTCATTATTTCCAATGAAAGAATTAAATTAATTAGAAATCCCTTTGGAAGCATAAAGCATAATAAAACCTACAATAATGGTATGTAATAATTATACTAATGAAGTGCCAGTTGTTTTACATATCATCGTTTTTTAGACCCACTGTTACCACTTGAAGGCTTATTAAAGCTCCTACTCATTTGTGGAAAATGTACAGTTGGGGTTCTTTCATTTGGGCCATACAATCCTAGATTTCTGGCTGCAGCTGATTTTCTGAGTGGCTTGACGCTAGGGAAAGGACAAAAGACTTGTGGCTTAGAAGTGCAGGATTTTGCCACTATTCCACTGTCATTGGCTAAACTTGGCAACTCAGAACTGCTTGATTCATCTTCAGTACCATCTCTACTATTCTGTGTAAATTCCAAGGTTTCCAACTTCTGCTGGACCTCTGATACATAGACACTGGAATCATTATTTTTATAAGTTGGTTGAGGAGATTGTCCATCTATTGAAATGTTCCCATCACCTTCCATAGTTTTAAATTTATTTGCAGTTTCATCTTTTGTATTAATACTGCTAGTTTTCCCACATTCACTCTGCTCCTCTATTAGTCCTATTGTATCTCCATAACCCAGATGGCCTTTGGCTCGCGCTATGTTCTTTCGGTGTACCCTCATGTGAGTGCGCCATGGAGAGTTTAGCTTTGCTTTAATATCTTCATGCGGACCTGGTAGCATCTTTCCCCCAGTGTGGCTTGGAACATTGTTTTTGGCAGACTTGCTGGTTTGTTTGATCTTCTTCCCTAGCAGAAGATGGTTGATTACTGGAGAATGATTCACCTGAGAAGGCGTAAGACTGGTAACTGGACTTTTATCTGAAATAAAAATAAATGTATTTTAAAGTATACTGTTGAAAGAGACATGGCAAATAGAAAGACCATTTTCTGATTGTGTTGTAGACACAAAAGTAAAGACTTCTGGATTTGAAGAAGAGGAATGTTCATTTCACTTATATTCTACAGCATTATTTTTAAAACCAAACCTGAGTCATCTATCTTGCCCAACAAGTAAACACTGCATTATGATTGGCTGCAATTTTATTCACTGGAAAACAAAATGGCTGCAAAAAAATAGAAAATATTATTTTCAGAGTAGAAAATACTGAAAGTAATTTTAATTAACATTTCTACAAATGAAAGGAAAGGTGTTGTATATAGGAAGCAGCCTTGGAACAATTTCTCTCTCCCTCTCCCTCTCTCTCATTTGCAATAACTAGGAGTGACTCTTCAGAATTTTCCTTCTCCTCCCAGAAAATGCCATTCTCTTATGCACTGCTACTGCTGTTGCCTATCCCAAAGTAAAACCACATAAAAATACACTTTTCCTAGCAATGATGATCAGAATAGATATTAATGTGAAATCTAATATAAATACTCCAATAATTAATCTATGAATTAAGTTAGGGTTTTTTAGTCAATGAATAAACACCATGATAATAATTTAAGTAATTATGTTTCCATTCCCACTTAGGTTAACTAAATCATGTCAATAGGATGCTAGATATCTTTAACTTTAACTGGAGAGAGGGGCCCCTGGTTGAGATGTGCCCATCAAGCTTCAGAGCATTCCATCAGCCGAAGGCCCCGGGGAGGGGAGGGGAGGGGGGGTGGCGGTTATCATTGAAGAAGATCTGGGTCCAAGGGAGACCACTGTGCCACAAACTGCCGGATGTGAATCCCTCTTTGTGAGATGGGGTCATGGGGTTCAGATGGGCTTGTTGCTTATATACCTGGCTCCCTGCCGTGTGGCAACGGCCCTGCCCGAGCTACTTGACGTGATAGCCACGGTGGCAGTTGATTCACCCAGGCTTATGGTCATGGGTGATTTCAACTTGCCATCCGTTGGTGAAACGTCTGAGATGGCTCGGGAGTTCATGGCTTCCATGACGGCCATGGACCTAACCCAGTTAGTTCATGGCCCCACCCATGGGGGGGGTCACACTCTGGACTTGATTTTTGTCTCTGGCCAGTGGTTGAGTGGTCTCGTTATAGGGTATATAGACATGGAACCCTTGTCAGATCACTTGCTCCTTCACATGGACCTTCGAACTGCTACACCCCGCCGCAGGGAGGCGGAGCCAACAAGATGGGTCCGCCCCAGGCGCCTGATGGATCCTGATAGGTTCCAGATGGAGCTTGGGCCACTTCCTGAGGATCTGTCACATGACTCGGCCGAGGACCTGGTGGCTGCCTGGGATCAGGCGGCTGGTGGGGCCTTGGATCGTGCCTTTGCGGCCTCTGACCCGGTGCCGATCCCTCGTGGCTCCTTGGTTTACCGAGGAACTGAGGGAGATGAAGTACCGGAAAAGACGCCTGGAGAGCGGTTGGAGGGCCAGTCTCGCTGAATCTGACCGAACACTGGTAAGGTCGCATATTAAGACCTACCTAGTGGCGATAAAAGCGGCAAAGTGTAACTACTTTTCCGCTCTTATTGCGTCATCAGATAATCGTCCGGCCGCCCTGTTTAGGGTGACCCGCTCCCTGCTCCATCCGGGAGGACCCCCTGGAAGGCAGGGCCGAGGATTTCAGACAATACCTGTAGGACAAAATCGCTCAGATCTGGGGGGATTTGGACTCTGACTGGGTAGATTCGGGCAGGGTGATGAGGAATAGTCTTGAGAACGTTATCTGGGAAGAGTTTGACTCTGTGACTCCTGATGATGTGGGCAGGATTTTGGGGAGACTTAGTGCGGCCACATGTTTACTGGACCTGTGTCCCTCCTGGTTAGTACTGGCTTTCCGGGAGGTTACACGAGGCTGGCTCCAGGGAATTATCAACGCTTCGCTGAGTGAGGGTCACTTCCCCGCTGCCTTGAAAGAGGCGGTAGTGAGGCCTCTCCTCAAGAAGCCTTCCCTGGAGCTGGCAGTATTAGCCAACTATCGTCCTGTCTCCAACCTTCGCTTCGTGGCGAAGTTTGTTGAGAGTGTGGTCGCGCGACAGTTTCCACAATTCCTGGAGGAAACATCTTATCTAGATCTGTTCCAGTTGGGTTTCAGGTCTGGGCAAAGCATGGAAACGGCATTGGTCGCATTGGTAGATTATCTCTGGAGGGCTCAGGACAGGGCTTGCTCCTCTGTTCTGGCCCTGTTAGACCTCTCAGCGGCTTTTGATACTATCGACCATGGTATCATGCTGCACCGGTTGGAAGAGTTGGGGATGGGGGGCACTGTGTTACGGTAGTTCTCCTCCTTTCTCTCAGACCGGTCACAGTTCGTGTTGGCAGGGGGGAAGAGGTCGACCTCGAGGCCTCTCATTTGTGGAGTGCCTCAGGGGTTGGTCCTCTCGCCCCTTCTGTTCAACATTTATGTGAAGCCGCTGGGTGAGATCATCTGTGGCTTTGGGGTGAAGTACCATCAGTACGCTGATGATACCCAGCTGTACGTCTCCACCCCAGGCCACCCCAATGATGCCCTTGAAGTGATGTCCCAGTGCCTGGAGGCTGTGCGGATCTGGATGGGAAGGAACAGGCTCAAGCTCAACCCTTCCAAGACTGAGTGGCTGTGGTTCCCAGCATCCCGATATAGTCAGTTGATTCCATCACTGACTATCGGGGGCGAGTCTTTGGCCCCCGCGGAGAGGGCGCGCAATCTGGGAGTCCTCCTGGATATGCAGCTGTCCTTGGAGGAACATCTGATGGCTGTAGCCAGGGGGACTTTCTGTCAGGTTCGCCTGATCCGCCAGTTGCAGCCCTTTCTTGATCGGGATTCCCTGTGCACAGTCACCCACGCCCTTGTCACCTCGCGCCTGGACTACTGCAACGCTCTCTACATGGGGCTCCCCTTGAGAAGCATCTGGAGGCTCCAACTGGTCCAGAATGCGGCCGCGTGGGTAATCACGGGAGCCTCCTGGCGCTCCCACATAACACCGCTCCTGCGTGAGCTGCACTGGCTCCCAGTGGTCTTCCGGGTGCGCTTCAAGGTGTTGGTTACCACCTTTAAAGTGCTCCATGGCATAGGACCTAGTTATCTTTGAGACCACCTGCTGCTACCGATGACCTCCCACCGACCTGTGCGCTCCCACAGAGAGGGCCTCCTCGGGGTGCCATCAGCCAAACAATGTAGGCTGGTGACCCCCAGGGGGAGGGCCTTCTCTGTGGGGGCATCTACCCTCTGGAATCAGCTGCCCGCAGAGATAAGGAGAATCCAAGACCTCGGTGCCTTCCGCCGTGCCCTTAAAATTTCTTTTTTCAGCAAGCCGGGCTGGCTTAACATATTTTTTAACATATTTTTAAATATTTTTAATTGGTTTGTTATCTTAAATTGGGGCCAAATTAATATATATCTTTTTAATTGTTTTTAATGTTTGTATTGTATGTTTTTTATCTGGCTGTACACCGCCCTGAGTCCCTCGGGAGACGGTGCGGTATATAAATTCGAAATAAAATAAAATAAAAATAAAACTTACATTTATAAAGTACATAGTCAAAAAGCCACGTCATACCTCATCTTATGCAATGAAGGTTGATTAATTGAATATGGTATTCTCAAAGCACATCCAAATGTCAAAAATAATCAACATAGCTAAACTATGTAATTAGAAAAGATTAGTAAAAGGAAGATTTGGCAATCTTGGAAAATGAAACTTTTGTTTCGGTTTGACAACGTAATTGTATTGCATTTGTCAAATTTTTGAAAAGATGCTGCCTTGTGACATGCAGACCAACTGTCCTGAACATCCATCCTTGCGGACAGAGAAGAGGCCATAGGTGCAAGATACAGCATGCAAACACTTTCATTATTGCACCAGTGCAAGAGGTTATTGCAGGAGAGTAAGTGAAAATGCAAGACCTCCATTGTTAATCCCACAGACAATATGACCATTAACTATATCGATTTATTCTAACTGAAGCAGCATATAAGCCTGTGAAAAAAACGTATTTACCTATATATAAATTTACGGGATTTAGATCAAAAGTCTTTATACACTAAATCACCTTATTCTTGTAATACTTCAGTAGTTCAGGCTGCTGCTTAGTACCTAGTTAGGTGTTTAGAAATTTGTATTCCAAATCCAAGGATGCCAGAAGTGTTAGTGAAATCAATACTAAAGACCCCTAGAGCCCAAATAGCACAGATATCTTTAAATACCATTATTCAGCTGGTCCCTGGGATCTAAAACTATCCCAAGGTCATCATCTTCATACCCTAACAAAAGAAAAACAAAGATTATAAACTCTTTTATAAGTAGCTTTTCACCATCAGATGAGATTATTTCAGTCACGCTGCTAGATCTCATGTTTTTTTCTTCTTCTTCTTCTTATACACTGTAAACTAAACTGAATACAACTGTGATTTGCTTCTTAATACAAATACAACTTGAACTAATAAGTCCTTCCAATTATTAATTACCTGCTGTGATGTACACATGATGAACCTGCTGTTGCTGCTTCTTTTTTATCCGAGAATACTGTCTTTTCAATGCATTGATGTCAGTGGTCATACGTTCCATCATCATACTGTTAAAAGCTGCATGATATTCACTTCGGCAAGCATTTATTGCACCAGGACTTAGTTCTGCAATGTTACTGGAGCCTAAACTGTGCTCTTGATTATGGTCTGGGAAAAACATTGGACATATATCAGCCAGCTCACAATGATACAGTTGAAGCTACCCCTGATATTTCCACTTAACTGAATTAGAAAACTTAAAAAGTCCTACATACAGAAACTATCTAGAAGCAAATCTGTAAATACCTTGAGAAAGTACTGCTTTATTAGTGATAAATACTTGGCTGAGGATTACAGGTTATTTTAGAATGTAGTGTACAGTCAGCCATGGAAAGATACTGATAAAAAAACCAATTCCTTAATGAACTTATAAGATCCAATTATCATATCATATGTAGATGGGGACTTCTCAACCGAAGATCAATTTCTCTATTTAAAATATTATTTCCAATGTCTGTAAACTGTGATGGCATGGCTGGCATCATAATGTCACCTGCAGGGCTGTGGTTTGTATTTTTGTAGTCTTTGTGGAGAGGCACCTCTTGCAATACCTTTCAGTGAATTTGCAAACAAAAACTTTATTACAGCCAAAAGCAATATGCTATTTATGCAATATCAGTAGAAATGAAGGCATGGTCAAAGACCTTGCTTCAGTTTTTTGATGTTTTCCTGCCACTTCCAATAGAGCAATGGCAGAGGATCTAGGAAATGCAAAAAAGTAGGGTTCAGGGGCCACATTTTGATTTCTATATTGTCTAATATACAATATAGTATATTATCTATATACTATATAGTATATACTAATATACAATCTATGGCCCTTGCCATAGATGCTAGACACATCACATCACTGTCTTATCAAAGTCAAAGTCACACAACTGCAATGACTTTTTATTTGCATATTTGATTATCAACTTAGATCTGACTGGGAGTAAGAAATGAAATATCATGTTTGAGGAAATGAAATTAGCCTCAGCAACAAAGCTTCATATACCAATTGAACTCCCATAAAATTATTGAAATTTCAGAAATAATATTTACCTTTGAAATGCTTTTGATACTTCTGTAGTTCTGGAGCCAAAAATCCACTAAATGGTCCAAGACATCCAATAACATTTGCTATGGAGTCTTCATCATCTATTTCATTTTCTTCATCACTGTCTTTTATTTTTCCCAGTCGGCTAAAAACCCAGGGCACACAGAATAATAATTTGAGCGATTCCTCAAGCTCTATCTTTCTTTACTTACACCACAAAAAGTCAGAAGGTGCCTTACCTTGCAGTTGATTTTACCGTAGCAGGAAATGGTGTAATGTTGTATGTATATTTCTCCCTTAATTCAGATAGCTGAGGGAAGGGGAACTGGGCCATAGAATAAACCATCTATGAAAAAAGAGAGGAAAGAAACTGAAGTAAAAATGCCTTTAGGACACTTTTTATGCAAATTCAAATACAAGATAATTCCCATATATTTGCAAGATTAGGCAATGCCTTTTCCACATTTACAAAAGCAAATATGAAAAGCTTGATTTTTACTAATGCAACAAACATTGTCTGTAGGAACTACAAAGAATAATCTACAAGAAATATAACCAGTCAACTCCTGAAATAACCACTGGAGATAACAGGAGTGTTAGGGTGAAAATAATGAAAAGTTGTGAATCAGGGTGGATTTGATTTAAATCGAGTTGATTTAAATCACAATTTAAATCATGATTTAAATCACTACTAAAAAGGCTTGATTTAAATCAACTTGATTTAAATTATAATTTTTAAAGAGCAACTGTCATCTCTGCTACTCCTTTGACCCACTGTTGACTCACCGATAGTCCCAGTGTTGCAGAATATACAGCCTCATGCTACATAACTAAGCTCCATTTCATGCTGAATAAACTAAATTATTTATGTATCTTAAATAGAAAACTATCTTACGATAAGATTTTTACCCCCAAAATTTTTTATTAAAATATATTTGATAAAAATAAAAAAAATCCGATTTAAATAAAAAAAAATCCGATTTAAATTAAAAAAATCCGATTTTTTTTATTTTAAAAAAAAAATCATTGATTTTTATCCACCCTGTTGTGAATGCATGTATTTCTTGTATTCAAAAGAATTTGTTTGCAGAGCAAACCATGCATATGTATATACAACTACTTATTTTACACCTTAAATGCATTTATCCTCAATGCCTTGGAGTCTGAACTATATGATTTCAATTTTAAAAAATCAATCTGTATCAACAGCAACAGATATATTCGTAGAAATATGTCTGTTACTTATATAAAGAAACTCTCTCTTTTATGGATTTCTCAGTATCTCAACACTTCATTAAGTGACTTTGGACTAATATTTTACTAATGGTTTAGGCTTGTTCAGTGAAATTACTGTAGTGCATTATATTACAACAAGAATACTATCCCTGTCGTGTCAAGTCGATTTCTCATTACAGTTAGTCATCCAATAAATAATCAAAACTATCAAGATTTTATTAAGGCTGACAGTAATAGTAAGAAAACTTGAAAATACTTGTAATACACGCTTAGGACTGAAACACATTGATAGGGCAGTTTTGGATACTATAAGTCTAGTTAATAACGTCTCCATAGGATAGAGGGGGCAAACTATCCTTTAAATTTACAGTATTATTTTCAAAAACTCATTTTTGTTCTTTATTTTGGTCAGGTAATTTTTCATGCACAATCTTTCACATTCATGTGAAAAATGTGGAAATTGAATTGTCTTGATAAAATAAATTTATATATACTGCTTGATTTTAGATATTTTTATTAGAATATAGTGATTCCTTCAGTGGTGGGATTCAAGTAATTTAACAACCGGTTCTCTGCCCTAATGATTTCTTCCAACAACTAATTTGCCAAACTGCCCAGAAAGTTAACAACCGGTTCTCCCGAAGTGGTGCGAACTGGCTGAATCCCACCACTGGATTCCTTATTCTCAAATATTGTTCTAAATATAAGCCTCTGCAAACTTAAATTATGGACTAACAGATGTTGCAATTTTAAGAAATGAACAAAAGGCATACAGTAAATAATGCCAGATGAAATTTTGAAAATGTTTTTTGGGGGGAATTCTGGATTACATTTTTAAATAAATAAGACATTGATTAAAAAGCTAAATATGCAAATTTTTGCTAAATATGCATTAAGCTAAAAGGCTTAATATGCAAATCTGCTAGACCTCAAACAGTATATCTTGCATGAAAGATGAGAAAAATCCCACATTGTACTGATAGTGGCAGGCAAGCAATTCAGCAGCATAAAATCAACAAATGTGTGAACAACCATTTAATGTGTAAATAATTTCATATTTTCTTACTAACCTGCATGAGTTCATTGCTATCAATGAGTTTATCTTCCAGCATCTCCTGGGTTAACTTTCCCATGGTGCCATAGAAGTCATCTGCAGTTTCACAAGAATTGACCTGCCTGCATCACAATACAAATATTTCTGTTACTATACATGTTACAATCCTATATTGCACATTATTTGCTTTATTAAGCTGTTTTTCTTGTTTCCTTAGGACTACATTTAAGGCCGGCTGGCCTAGGTAATGATGGTCTAAACAGGGAATTACAAATCCTTGCTACTTCAAGGATAGCTTGAGATCAGTATCCTTGGATAGTCATCATAGTAATGGCAGAGAACAAAGATATGGTGATATCCAGTTACACAAGGAAAGGGAAATTAAGCATTTAACAGTTTTTCCCTCCTGGAAGTCTTTATCAGCAATCAACTATTGGACAGATCAACCCTTCAAACAACCTGACCTTTAGTCTCAGTAGTGTCAGGTTAGTCAGTCCTATAAAGCAGGTGAGAAGCTACATTGAAAGTGAAATAGATACCTATTTAGGAAAGCAAATCAGTGGTAGGTTGCCCCCGGTTCGCACCGGTTCTATAGAACCGGTAGTAAAACCGGCGGGAGGCTCTGCCCACCGACCCCGACATCATCAAAATGCTTCTGCGCATGCGCAGAAGCTTCTGTGCATGTGCAGAAGACCACGCGAACGAAGCAAATGCGCACACGGGGCCCTGTTGCGAACTGGTAGTAAAGGTAAATAGAACCCACCCCTGAAGCAAGTATGCTGATATGGGCCACATCCGTTTTGGCTGGATATTCTGAAGTATACATCAGCTGAAGAAGGAGAAAATGTGATGTAGCTATTATTCATGAAAACAGGATCTACCTCAACAATTGTGACAAAACTGTATCTTTCAGCCCGAGCACCTTGGTTTGGAATTAGAAATAAATCGAAGATTTTGTTAATTTATTGCTTGTGGTACAGTCTGAAAGAATCCCTAACTGACCAGTGGGAATTGCATTTGATGTCTGAGACCCCTGGGTTTCAATATCCATTTTAGGTTTTGTCTAGAAAAAAATAGGAATTCATAGCAGCTATAATAAGGATAGTCTATCCCAGTTGATCACAGGTATGATAAACGATGTAGATTATATATTTTGACAATTTATTCTAATCAGGGGAATGTTCTGTTAGTGGGAAAATCTCAAGTTTCTCCTTTGTCATGGATGGAACCCTATTGGATTAATGGTTATACTTCACTTCTATAGAGGTGCCTGAAACATTTATTGTACTCAGCTAGTTACCAAGAAATCTTCAAATGACTTGGAACTGATTCTACCAATAATTTATATTTCTCAAGTAGATTTCAGATAGTGTAGCCTGGAAATAGTTGCTCTTTGAAAACAGGAGGCATAATATGAAAACGGGTCAAAATAATATTTCCTCTGATCTGTCTGATTTGAGAAATCACTAGTCTCATATTTAGAACTGTATCCTGACACCCATATACCAGTATATTTTTCTGAGACAGGAAATATACCCCCATCAGGAAATGGGATTGTTCCCGAGTGCCTCTCTGCAATCTGTAATGGGTTGGATGATACATAAAACTGAAACTGAATCCAGACAAGAGGGAAGTGCTCATTTGTAAGGGACAATAATTTTAATGAGGGGGCAGATCTGCTTGTTCTAAAATGGGGGACCAAAATACCAGAAGGAAGAGGTATACATTTTTGGAGTGCTTCCAGACTCATTTCTCTCAGGGGCCTCCTGGATTGAGACAACAGTTAGAAGCATTTTTATCAGTTTGGATGTATCCCTTCCTGGAAGAAAATTATCTAAACATTATACTTGCACAGATTACCTCAAGGGTTGACTGTATTCCAGGAACAGGAACAATAAGACTTGTTATGGGTCTTTTTTAAAAGAACTTTTATGTAGGTCTGCAAGGAGCTACATAAGCTGCAAGGAGACTGTTTCATGAAATTCACTGCCTCAAGATTTCAAACTCAATAGAAATGAAGCTCATTGAAGACTGACTTCAAAGTAGTTTATTAATAATTGCATTAGCATTTCTCTTTAGTGATAATTTCTGCCTCCAGACCCCCTTTATAGGAATTTTGAAGTGTAAGCCACCCAAAGTCATTGACTGAGATGGACAGCTATAGAAATTGAATAAATAAATAAAATAAGATAAACCATATGAATGTTAGAAAAATAATTCAAATGCCTTTATATAATATAAACCATTTTCCAGCAAGCTTTTGCTTAGAATTTTTTTTACAGTCATTGAGATAAACTGTTAATTACAGTTTTCAGTGTATCTGTAAAGACCAATAAAATAGTTTAATGTCTACCAAACGGAATAAAAAAAAAATCTGACTATAGTGACAATACTTAGAAAGCTTGTTCAACTTCCAACATTTACCATGGAAATAACTTGCTATAAGCACTTAAAAGTAATTCTTCTAACAAGTTGGTGCTGGGTAACTAGTATCACCTACAACCATATTTTTATTTTTGCGAAATTTAAATTGTTTTATATATTAGAAGAGTTTTTTAAGCTTTCAATGTGGGCTTCAAATACGATCTAAGTACATCTGACCTCCAAAATTATTGGAATTCTACTTCAGTCCCCACAAGCCTCAACACTGATACGGGATGAGAGAATGGGAACTATCCAGAGGACCAAGTTCCCCTTTTCTTGCTATTACGTTCCTGAAATCACAAAATATGAAGCTCGGTCTCTATAGTAGATGATGTTGTAATATATAAACTACTGATAGTTCTTGACTTATGACCACAATTAAGCCCAAAATTTCCATTGCTAAGCAAGGCAATTGTTAAGTGAATTGCACCCAATTTTATAATCTTTTTTGGCACAATTGTTGAGCGAATCACGGCAGCTGTTTAATGAATTATGTGGTCATTAAGTGAATCTGATTTCCCCCATTGACTTTGCTTATTAGAAGCCAGCTGAGAAAGTTACAAATGATGATCACATGATTCCAGAACAGTGCAACTGTCATAATACATGCCAGTTGCAAAGTGTCCAAATTTTGATCAGGTGACTATGAGGATGCTACAAAGGGCTGTAAGTGTGAGAACCAGAAGGAGCAGGCAAAGGATCATGATTTGGACGGAGATCTCTGCAAGAAAATTTTATCATGTTAAAATAAATTGCTGGAAAAGAATACTTGGGAGAAAATCAAGACTTTTTTTGTTTGTGTGAATTGTATTTCTCAGCTAAATTACTTATTTAATTCTTTGTGTATTTTTACCTAATCTGATAGACTTCAGGTTATAAGAGTTTGTCTAAAATATGGTGTGATGATTCAAATGTTGAACAAGGCCTGAAAGAAAACTAATTCAAGTTCTCATTCGGCCATGAAGTTTCCTAAATGATTTTTGGCCTGATTTTATATTACTCAGGCTACCCAATCTCACCAGGCTATTGACATAAATTGAACTATGTATGTATAAATTGGACTATCTGTGTTTCCACAAAACTAAGACTGGGTCTTATTTTGTTTTGGGCCCCAAAATAAGCACTAGAGCTTATTTTTGGGGCTGTCTTTTTTCCCCCCATGTACGCGAGGCCCATTTCTTCTGCTTGCTCATGGCTGGGCAGGCAGCCGCGTGGTGTGCCACTGCCACCACCGCATGGCCTGTGAGTGAAGCTGCCTCACATGCCCTGCACCAGCTTACCTCAGGGCCCCCACAGCCAGGCCATCCATGCCGTGACACCTGTTTTGCCTCATGACAGTGGCTCTGGCAGCCACGTCTAGCAGGAGCCCACGTGACCCCCAGCCCACTTCTGCTTGCTCGCACCAGCAATTGAGCAGAAGGCCAAGCGACGTTCCTGTGCCACGGCCATGAACTGAGGTGGGGGGATGGAGCTGATCCACATGCCCTGCACCAGCTTACCTCAGGGCTCCCGCAGCCAGGCCATCCATGCCCCAACGCCTAACTCGCCTTGCAGCCACGGCACCAGCACACCACTCAGCCTCCTGCTCTGCTGCGGCTGCAAGCAAACAGAAGAAGTGGGCAGGCAGCTACTTGGGCTCCTGCTGCACATGGCTGCTGGTGCTGCCACTACAAGGCAGATATCATGGCACGGATGGCCTGGCTACAGAGGCCCTGAGGTAAGCCGGTGCGGGGCGCATGGGGCAGCTCCACCACCACCCCTTGCCTCATGGCAGAATGGGCGAGCAGCTGCGCAAGCTCTTAAGTAGGGCTTATTTTGAGGGTAGGGTATATTAGGCACAGGCATAAAAACATGCTAGATCTTATTTTCAGGGAAACAGGGTATGTACTCCATCTTGATTCTGGTAGAAGAGGTGGCATATAAAAACAAATCATCACCATCATTTTAATGTAGAGCCCCCAGTCTCTTATGTACCTACTAAAGTATCACTTACGATCTAGTACTACAGTCACTGAACAGAATAATTCAACTTCATGCAAAGGTTTTAGGCCCCAACCCAACAACTGCCTTTTCCATGAGCAAGTGCACATAACCTCACTGAAAGAAGGAAATTGTATTGGTATGGTGAAATAGAGAAATTCAAAACAAAACAAAATCTTATGCTACAAGGGGAAAATAAAGGTGCACAACAATAATTTTCAGTACTTAAATAACATTTCAAAGAGCTTTTCCACAAAATTTATCAATGGTTTATTTTTAGACATAAAGTGAAAATATACTTACACTTCTAGTTTTGCCCAAATAGCCAGTGCTACTCTCAGTATAATTTCTGACCCCTCAAAGAATACAGAATCCCAAATTTTTAAAACTGTATGGTTAGGAAGGCATGTAGCAAACAGGGTCAGGAACCACTGCATAGTGAAGACATTTGTAAGTGGGGGTTCATATCCACCTAAAACAGAAAAAAAAAAACAGGAAAATAACCACTTGCTGTCTCTTCTGCATATCCTAACACAAAAATGGATAGAGTACAGAATTGTAATATGATACCAAATTATATTGTGTTCAATTTCAGTTTATGAATTCAAAGAGCTAAAAGTAATCATTAATGTAGATAATCATGTTCGTGGGATGCCATTTTTAAGTTTATAATATATTAACTCCCTCTTAACAACTTTAGCATGTGATCAAGCTGAACTGATGTCAGAAAAGCTAAACTGAGTGAGATCTGACTGATACTTGAAACAGGAAACCACCTGAGATCACAAAATAAAATTAAAGCATGTAAAAATATGTTTGAAGCCCCATAAAAACAATCTTGTCAAATATTTACAGGCTCTGCTCTGCTTTTTAATATTTAAAAATGTAAAAGCTTCACTTGATGCAGAAAACCTCAAAACTGTCCTCAGTAATACTGTACTTAAATAGCACAATCCTTCAAATCTGTAATTGCTATATTAGAATTTTTTTGTCTACCACCTCATTTATAACTGGTTTTGGCGCATTGTTAGACCTGACCCAGAAGTAAAGGTGTCTACAATCTACTATTTCTAACTTGCGTACACATGCATCAAACCAAGGTTTTTAGCTATCACCTAAGATATTGTCAATCTGCATATCTGATTTCATAGATTCCTATTTAATGGTATCATCTCAAACACCTTCTAATTTTAAACAGCGCTTATGGTTTCAACCCAGAATTTTTACATTTTTATTTTAAATTAGAAGTAATGAAATTTATTTCTAAGAGATAAAGAAGCAAAGAAAGGAAGAAATATTTGCATGATCATTGTATACCTCCACTTTCCTTGTTGGCAGCTCTTTGGAGAGTATCCAAATTCTGGGACAACTCAGGAAGTTTTATTCTCAGAAGATCTCGGAATACTGCCATGTCAACAGACAGTGCTTTCAGATTATTGACAAAATAGCTATCAGGCAGCACTTTATCAATTAAGTAAATCATTATCTGAAAATCAAGCAGAAAAATGGGATAAAGATAAAAGATAAATCTTTACCATCCAAGCAGCAGTCTATTTGTATAAACATAAGTTATAAATTGAATCATAACTGATTCTTATATCCATACATCTTCATTTAGTCTTTAGGGGGGCCTTGTTCCTATACTATGGTATTTTTAATAGCCAACAGAATACAATATGAATAAAAATGTGGTCAACAGATATACTTACTTTTAATGCATCTCCCTCATTGCCTTCTACTACTTCCAGGATGAGAGCAGCAAGGATGTTAAAACCTTGGCAATATCCTACAGATTTATTCCACCTGGCATAAGCCAATAAAACTCTTTTCAATACCACTCTGTCTTGTTCTGCCTCTTGGCCACAATAAGAACTGCATCCCGTTCGATGAAGATCCTAAGTGGGAATGGAAGAGAAACAATGAAATATTTCACATTTCTTTAAATACAAGTATAAATTATACCTCTGTATTTTTACTTTCTGAAGTCAACTGATCACATATTGTGCTCTGGAATCTAAGGTATGAAAACATCCATCTTTGCACTAGAACGTTTGAGCAGCAAATAATCAGCATTTCATGAAGTAATTATACTGAATCAATAAGCATTAACAATAATGTAGAAACTGTCACATAAAACATTCTTTTTGTTGAACAATTCTTCAATTCTGTAGAATGTAGAATATACCATAGAATGTAAGATATGTGTGACTAGATTTTATACCTTTGTTCCAAGCATTCAACTAGCTATACTAGTCCAAATTAGAATTTTCAGAATATTAAGGGAAAATAAATTAATTTGTCCTTGAGCTACTTGTCTGGTAAATAATGCACTGAAGTTAATATTTTTCCCAGCTAATCATCTACAATATATCAAGGAAGGAAGACTCAGAAAGGTAGCACAGAAATGTAAGTTTTTAAGGAGACATGTTAACAATGAGAAAAAAGAATTGGATTTTTCCTTTATTCAGCTACTTTTTTATCTGGGCATTAACAGAATTTAATTTTTGTTACTTTGGAAGCTCCCTTAATACATTTCATAAGAATTGAATCTATTCTGGAAGACAGTGGTAATTTATTGTTGTTCTGTTTACTGCTTTGTTTTGCAATTCTGAGGGCAAATCTGATGATTATTTGTTTAATACGGAGATCATCCTACAAAACCAGTATAAAATGAAAAAATAAATATGCCATTAGCAGTACAAAAATAAAGGAAGCAGGGAAACTGTGATCAAACTGAGACAATAGTGAGAAATTATAATTTCTTAATTGATTACTATAAAATATAATAAGAACACTCAGCACATAAGCATTATTGTACTATGAATGTAAAGACTTTAATAAGCAAATTAATAAGCTTTTAAATACCTTCACAATCTGTATTCCCATGGAATCATCATCAGGATTACTTCGGTCATTGAAAGTGAAACGCATAGTTTTATCCCAGTCAATCGCTATACTCTTTAAATAGTGATCTGCCAAAGTGAGCCAAACCTTAAAAGATATACCACAATCAATTTTAGCTTTGCTTGAAATGGATTGCATTTTACAACTTTTCAAAAATATTCTGCATATTTAATATGTTGCCATCAATTATATATATAGCACAGGAGCATAAATGTGTTCACTTGTTTATTCTAAAATTAAGGAAGAGGCAGAATGTTCCATGCCCTGCCAGAATGAGACTCTGAAAATATACAGCATGGAGACTTAGCATCTTTCTCACTTTAGACTTTGTGCTTTCTATGCAAAGTACTGGAGGGGGAGGAACCTAAATTAGATGGTCACATTATAGATGCATCATGTCCCTGTGCTGCACCTACCCAGCTTTAGCCTTTTTATATTCAGACAATAAGCTAAACTGAGCTGGAGTTATTGGAACAATGATTAGAACAAATAGGCATGACTTTCTTTGGAAGCTAGGTAGCCTCACCCCCTGATCATGATCTGTGACTTCCCTCATAGGAATAACATTTCTACCAGCAAAACTTAAGTATATGGATGGAAATTATTTGTTTAAATTATTCCAAGCATGCTAACTAAGAAGTTTTGATATATATCCCAGACAGAAATATGTAGTCCTACAACTTTTTAAGTGATATTGTTTTCTAAATCTACTTCTTTATTCTGCTTATTTTACACAATAAAGTTTACAATCATAGCAAATTAAAAACCATATGCTAAATTAAAGTAAGTTACATAGTTATGAAATGCCTGTATATGTGTACGTTTATAGTGAAATATATTAGCCATATAACAGTATGATTACCTTAGAAAGGATTCAAACAAAATTTTTTAGAAGTATCTTCCAGGTTACCCAGTGTGTTCAAAATGCAGTATTTCAGAAGAAAGCAGTAAACATGAATCTAATCTGTGGATAAATATCTTTGCCTATTCGTTGAAACTACAATCACAACTCTAGCAGAATGACCCCTCTAATTTTGGCATACAATTACAAATATTTCTTGAAAAGACTGATCCAAAAGAAACTGAGCCCCTATGGTTTCTCCAGTGATACCATCTTAACCTCAGAGTTAGATCAATATTAAATCAAAGGATCTTAAATAAAGTCAAACACAAATTGCTTCTTTCTCATACAATATAATTGCAAATAACCACGTTTTAGTGCCTAAACCAGACTCATGTTTATATCACACTTCCCAAATTCAGAAGAGCTTTATCTTTCATTTGATTTAATGTTTTCCCCACAGCTGCCCTGGAATGGAAATACACGAAAACCCCATATGAAACCCTCTACTACTCTATATGGGTGCCATAGAAAACACAGCCCATGTTGGTCTTGCTAGTTCTAACGGGATATTCACCACCAGTTGACCACCTCTCTTTTATTTAAAATTCTGGGACACTCTATTAGCTTTTACCTGCACTGTCTATTAAATAATGAGCCTTGGTAGTACAGTGGTCTAAAGCACCCTGTTATTAAGACCAGCTGCCTGCAATTACTGCAGGTTCGAATCTCGCCAGGCTCAAGGTTGACTCAGCCTTCCATCCTTTCTAAGGTAGGTAAATTGAGGACCCAGTTGTGGGGGCAATAAGCTGACTTTGTATAAATATACAAAAGGATGAAGGCTATTGCTTAGCACATTGTAAGCTGCCCTGAGTCTCCGGAGAAGGGCGGCATATAAATCAAATAATAATAATAATAATAATAATAATAATAATAATAATAATAATGATAATGATAAATTTATTTCTCTAAAAATAGCAAAATTTTGCTACATTATGTGTTGTAAGCTTTGCCGCCCACAAATCGTTGCTAATAATTCCTGTTCTTAAGGAATAGTTTTATGTTGTTCATTTTATTTTTATTGATCAATGACCAAAATAAAATTCTAGTAGGTGTTTATTTTAGTATTTGTACATTTCTTAATTTAATTGGACTTTCTTAATTACCTTTCTATTGGTACAAAATAAGGAAAACATCTTATCTGTTATTCCTAATTTCAGTATTTTTCTAAGAAGGATTTTGCTTAATTAGAAACTTTTACTGGTACCTAGCCTATAGTATTAAATACATGGAAGTTTTCATTGCTGGACTAAACAGCAACTATTTATCTTCAGTCCAGAGCTTCACATAATGTTGATCACTATGCATTCTATGAAGGACAGGAGTTTACTTACCTTTCTTCTCCACTCCTTTGGAATTCCTGTGGACAGTCTAGCCACTGCTTTGAGAGCATCATGCCACTAAAATCAACCATCCCAACAGTGTGAAATTATTTCAATTTGAAACATAATTCAACATACAGTGCAGGTGATCCTCGACTTATAACCATTCATTTAATGACCATTTGAAGTTACAACAACACTGGAAAAAATGACTTACAACCGGTGCTCCCACTTAAACCATCCCTGCATCCTATCAAAATTTGGGCCCTTGGCAATTGGCCTGTATTTATGATGGCTACAATGTCGCAGGATCACGTGATACCTATTTGCGATTTTCCCAGTTAGCTTCCGACAAGCAAAGTCAATGAAAAAAGCCAGATTTGCTTAACAACCAGGGAAAAAATCATTATAAAATTAGGCGTGCTTCACTTAACTGCCTTGCCTAACAGTGGAAATTCTGGTCACAATTGTGGTTGTAAGTTGAGGACTACATGTATTTCAATATTATAGAAGCAATATGTACCATTAAACTATTTGACAACAAAATATTTAAATACAATTGCAAAACAGAAGAAAAAGGTGCTACATATTAATTCATTTACACAAGAACTGCAAAAATATATAATTGATTTTAATACTTTGAGCTTCTTTCTATTGAAAATAATAATAATTCCCACTGAGGAAGAAAAAAATCAAAATAAAATGGAACAAATGCAATTACAGTTCAGCTCTTTCAAATAATAAAATACATCCCAGTTTTAATTAATTAATGCAGTTTTTAAATTATTATTTGTCCACATGCTTGGAAAAATAAGGATTTTTTGTAAGAGTATTTATTCCAATGAATAAAAATCAGTTACCTGTTGAAAACCATTCTGACCTAATGATGGCTCAAGTGTAAACTTCAACTTTGTGTCCACTCCTATGCAACACAAATAGAAAACAATTACTAATATCTTCATTTATCAATCGAAACTGCATCCCATTAGATAGCATATTATAAATTTGATATGCAAAATTAATGCATGGATAACATAACCTAAAATATAAATATGACTATACAAAAATAATGCAACTTTTCACAGTGAGTTATATTATTATTAATATGCCAACTGACATTAAGCAAATAATATTCTAAACTAAAATAAATATGGAGAAAAAATATTTAAATTACAGAGTATGATAATCTCTTTCTATATCAGCAGTTCTCAACCTGGGGGTCGCGACCCCTTGGGGGTCGAACGGCCATTTCACAGGGGTTGCCAAAGCCCTCTCTCACACACCCCCACGCCTTCACTCACCCTCACTCTCTGCTCTGTTGGATCGCCGGCCGTTCGCTTACCCCGCCCACTCCCAATCTATTGCTGCCTCCGATGGCTAGAGGAAAAAAAACCTTCAAATTCTTGCCGCTGGGCTTCAAAGGGCCGCCCTAGAGCCAGTGGTGCAGCCGAACCCTTTGTTAAATTGCTGGCTTGCCCCGCCCCTCCGCACCACTATTTATTGCCAATAAATAGTGGTGGGCAAGGGGCGGGGGAGCCAGCAATTTAACAAAGGGTTCGGTGTTTTTTTTGTAATTTTATTGGCCCACGGAGCTTCAGCATAGGCTAATTGGCCTCCCGGCTCTCAGCCGATTTGTCTCAGCTGTTTTGCTCAGGGCTCTTCTGCTTCCTTGCAAAGAGTGCTGATTTTTTTTCCCCTAGCTATGCTGAGAAACGAAACTGAAACTGCTTTGCTGTTGCTGCAAGGTTGGAAAATTAGATAGGCAGAATTCTTTTCTTTTTCCTCACCAAAAAAGGTAGGTGCAAACAATGGGAAATTTAGGGGAAAAGAGGAGAGTTCAAGATTTTAAAACACAAAAGAAAAAAAGCTCTATTTAACTAGGGAATAGTAATAATTGAGATACTATTAATTGTATATTGTGTTGAAAGCAGAAATGGTTAAGTTGTGGTTTGGAGGAATACATGGGGGAAATTATTTGGTTTATTATTATTGGTAAATATAATTGATTTGTAAGAAATTGGATTGCATGGAAATAATTGAAATATCCATGTTCGTATTAATATATAAAAAGGTAGTTATATAACTAATTAATTTATATTAAAATGTTGAATTTATATTAAACAACTGTAATATTACATAATTAACCAATGTGAGGATGGATATAAAAATAGATGACAATGGGAAGGGGTATAATATAGAATAGAAAGAAAAAATTGAATTTGATTAAGATTAGAGATGAGGATGAAGGGTAATATTGGTTTTTTACAAAAATAGATGAGGAATAAATATGGCAAAAAGAATATAGAAATTGTAAATTTAATTGAAATGACTAAACACTGTTTAAATTTGTGAACCGGCCAAATACTCTGTTCAAAGAAAATACATTGTATGTTTGTATGTGTGTTTCTAATTATTGTTATTTATTCATATTTGTTCTCTTTTATTCTTTAAAGTTTAACAATTCATTCTTTATCTTAATATCTTTATATTTGTTTGGGGTTGGCTTTCTTCCCTTTCATCTTTTTTATTGTACAGCAATCTTTCTCCTCAAACCTACCACCTCTCTCTTTTCTTTCCTTCTTACTTTCTCTTCCTCCCCCTCTTCTTCTCCTCCCTACTTCCTCTTTCTTTCTCCTTCTCCTCCTCTCTTCCTCCCTCTTTTACCCTCACTCCTACTCTAATTTCCCTTCCCTTCCTTCATCCCTCTCTATTGCTGTATCCTTTTATGCATATGGACTACTCAGAGGGCTGAAAAAGTTATTTCTGACTGGTCCTTGCACTTTTGACCAGTCCTTGAACTTACGACTGTCCTCACATTTTACATTTTTGCCCTATCTTGTCACCATGGTGAAGAGAAGCAGTTGTGAAATGAGTGACACGGTTGTTAAGAATGCTACAATGGGCATAAATGATGACCAGTCATAAGTGCGAAGACCGGTCAAAAGTGCGAGGACCTGTCAGAAATCACTTTTTTCAGCCCTCTGGGTAGTCCCTATACACATAACCACGGCCACCCGGTCACATGACCAGCTAGCCACCCCCACCCAGTCACATGACCTCCAAGCCACACCCACAAAATAAGCCACGCCCACAGAACCGGTAATAAAAAAATTTAGAACCCACCCCTGGTTGGGGGTCACCACAACATGAGGAACTGTATTAAAGGGTCGCAGCATTAGGAAGGCTGAGAACCATTGTTCTACATAAAGACAATATATTACACATGAAGTAAAATAATGTCATATGGTGACATTCCATTGTTGAAGTTGGAGGCTGATTGGTTGGAACAATTTGTCTAAGGGAACTCTCCCCTTGCTGGACTTCCCAGATCTGTCATCTGATGGGAGACTGATGATTAGAGCCTTACCTCTTTTCACAGACCACTGGCAGCAGCCTGTGCACTGCCTATACATAGTTCTGATAAGTAGTGGGCTCTCTCCAGGATATTAACTCATCTGGGTCATATTCACACTCTGACCACATCATTGAAGCAACTCTCTTAGAGAAGCACAATGGATGAGATCTATATGGCTCACCAGCTGATCCTTTCAATCTCTGGGCAGTATCACTGAGTTGACACTAGAAGAGACTCTATATGGCTTTATGTGGCTCCTGCACTATCAGAGATACAATTGGATTTATCTACCATCTCTCAAATGTCTCACTGTCCTTCATGGCTCATCTGTCTTCATGCATGCGGCTCAAACAAGTGCTAGCTCTGAGGACATGTTCGCTCATAGCACACAAACACATACAAGCACATATAGCACTGATGTGATCACAACAGACACACATAGTTTAAACAAATGAAAAATACTATTCTTTTCCACTTGTTATACCACTGCTTCCCTAGAAGCTAAACTGTTGTTTATGTTAACAATTACTATGAGAAACTGGACTTTTACTACTGTCTATGGCATTCAAAAAAAACAAGTGGATCATTGAGACTAATGTTAAAAATTTCTATTTTTACATATGCATGAGCATTGTGCTTAAGTTTGCACACAACTGTTGTAAATGCAAAAAGTACTAATACATTCAGGTTTGACTGATTTGCTCTTTTAATGTGTACATGAACCCTGAATCTCCTGATTCCTGTTAATGTTGAGATTAAGGATATATGAAATTCATATATACAATATGTTGTGTTTCACCTTCAAGAACACTCTGAAGCTGCCACTATCAAGATAAAAGAGGATTCACAAAGTACAAAACAGATGGCTACACTTAGCAAATAATCACTGGTGTAACTTAGTTGCCACCTTTTTTCTTTACATTTTGTTCATTGGTTTACTTGGGTATTTGTATTTTTTTTATTTTGAGTGTATTTGAAAAGCAAAGAATAAATCAAGTTGTTTTTATTTTGATGTCATTATTCGTACTCTTGTACTCTGCCTGCTGCATTCTCTAGTACCTTTCTATTTATGGAGAGTTCAAAGTGCATTTCAAATGCAACACACATAAACACCAATACTGTACTCATTCGTCTATAGCTTAGGTTTGTGTGCACTGTTCTTGGATTCTTCTGTGGTGTTGCCTATGCAGTGAGCATGTCATCTTCAAAGACACTCTGAAAGTTTCACAATCAATGGAAAAAAGATCATTCATACTGCACACCTTGTTGTCCACATTGCTTGCTTAGATTTGTTTTTTCGAGTTACTGACTTCCATGTTGTTCATTTATCATTGCAGTCTGTGCATCATGTTGTATCCTTTTGAGAAAATTCAGTGTTTGCTTAAAAATACTACCTGGCCTGTTAACTTGGGGGAAGAGGGTTGCACTGTTTACATGCTTTTCTGCACTGAACATAGCAGTCCAAAACTGACTGACAGAACTTCTAGAATGTAGTATTTTGTTCAATGTTTCTCATTTTTCTATATGTCCCTAAATAATTCAAAATTTTACCCATACTTTGAAATATTAATTTTTTACATAATGTAATCAACATTACATAAATTAATACAAACAGCTGCAAAGGTACAGACTTGAATGGTCCATCAAGTCACCAGGAGTTAAGCTTGAAGAAGTCTGCCTTTAGTGCATTTGATATTGCACATTAACCAAGGAAGATGTCTCCGTTATAGAATGTCGCTGTCCAAGCAAATGGTGCTGAAATATCATCCGACACTCCTTACAAAATTATTACAGCATATTTTTGTCTCTTCTTTTTTTAAAAAAAACAGTTGGTCAATGGAAAGCAGCAAACATACCCAATACTTCTTCCTTTTCCTCCACAACAGCCACCCTGTGAGGAGGGCTGAGTGTTACTGGCTCAAAGTTACTCATTCAGTTTTCATGACTAAGTCAGGCCTAGAACTCTCTGTCTCTGGTTTCTAGGCTCGTGCCTTAATATGTCTTATAATAAAAGTTTGACATTACTCACAATAAAATCTTAGCACTTAAATTGCATTTCATAATAAATGTATTAAATTTAAGGTGTTTTGATTACCACTCAAACCAATTTTGAGATGTTTGCGTTCACAGTATCAGATTCTCCATTTAATTAAAATTCCCTCAAATTGAGTAGCATGCCAAATTTCCCCAGAAGTGTATTGTTAGAATTAGATTGTTATTAATTTTCTTAAAAGATTATTTGCAGCATATAAAAGCAATTAACAGAATCTGTAGTTCTTACTATACATCCTTAATGTCAATTAAAAAAAAAGATTTTAACAATTGCTACATGCAACAAAATCTGATCAGGAATGTCAAATTATTTTGCTAAGAGATATCAAATTAGATTAGCCTAGATTAAAGATGATATAATCGGTTACAAGTTTTGCCAATATAGAATTAAGTACTATTATAAGATCACTACTAGCAAATGAAAATATACACAAATGAATACAATGATGTCCTTTTAATTATCAACTTGATTTGCTATGTAATTCAACTAGATCCAAGAAAACCAATTAACCCCA